TAGCCTTCCGTTTAACCCCTCCTACTCAATACCGGGACAGCGTATTACCTTCCTTTTTTTTTACCCCACTCCATACTCAGCCTGACAGAGCGTATTACATTCCCTTTTAACGCTTCATCTCGCCGGGAGCCGGCGTTTACTCCTAAATTAATTACCTCATCCCCCCTACCCCTCATGCTCAGCCGGATAGGAACGTATTATCCTTAACCCTTTACCAGCATCAGAGCCGGACAGCGTATACTACCCGATCCCTTTAACCCTCATCCTCAGACCGGGACACGCGTATGACCTTCCCTTTACCCTCAATCTCATGCCAGGACAAAGCGTATAATCTCCCCTTTACCCTCATCTCAGCCGGACAAGCGTATAATACCCTTCCATTTACCCTCATCTCATGCCGGGAGCAAGCGTATTATACCTTCCCTTTACCCCTCATCTCAGCCTGATGATCAGCGTTATTACCTCACCTTTTACACCTTCATCTCAGCCGGGACAAGCGTATTACCTGCCTTTACCCTCATCTCAGCCAGAGACATGTCAGCATGTATATACCTCCCTATTACCCTCTAAGGCTCAGTAACTGGGGGAATAGGTTTCTCACAGTGGGTATTTGTTTGTCTATCAGAGTTACACTGTAAGTTGACAGCCGCAAATTTGGTCAACAAGGATTTCTCCTTTGTGGCCTCCTGAGAGTACACGAATAGAAGGGATCCCGCAGCATCCATGTCCTACGTTTATACCCTGAATTTGTCGCTTGTTGCTCTCAGGTTCCTAGTATGAAAAAGGACAGATTCCCCCTATATAAGGGATGACACTTACCTACCTTTCAGTGTATCAGTGTTGGATGAAGCCTCTACCTGGTCCCATCGGTTGGTCACGCATCTTTAGTGTATGTTACCGAGGTGGAATGTATAGAGGTCACATTAAGGAACTCTTTCCCTTTGGACACACAATTGGTTTTTGTGCAGGCTGCTGCAATGAGGATCTTCTTTCCTGATTTCTGGTTTGATTTTTAGGGAACTGTTGTGGCTTGATTGACCTCCCCTCAATGTTCATAGGGTGGAGGACATCCACTGTATAGAGTAAGGAATGTAAAAAGGATTGTTCTGTGTCCCTAGTGAGGTGCGACAAGAGACCTGACATGTTGTTGGTTTAGCCTGTAAACTCCATTTCCTTGGAGCTCCCTCAGGAATCCACAGATGATCCGACCGTCACCCCCCCCCCCCCCCCCCCCCCCCCCCCCATCCCCCCCCCCCCCCCCCCCCCCCCCCCCCCCCCCCCCCCCCCCCCCCCCCCCCCCCCCCCCATGCCCCTCCAGTTATATGGGCTATGGCTTGCTTAACACATCCTTTCCTATGTTGGGAGATATCTCTACAAGGGGAACCGTCACTGTTCTATTGTTGTCCAATGTCCCCGATCCACCTGTAGGGTGGCATAACAGTGTTATGGACAGGATTTTAATAAAGATCTTTTGTGGTCCTGAGATGTTAATTCCAAAGCAAATTGGATATATATACAGATCATTGATGCCATTTGTTAACTCAGAGAGAGATCAAGGAAGTGTTCATGTGCTGAAAGGAGCCCCTAGAAACCTTTGGAGGACCCCTGGCTGAGAAAGGCTGGACTAGGCAGTCATATATTTCTGTCTCCCCTTGAGGGAGGTGGAGGTGACTTCTCCTCTATAAGAGGATCCTACAGTCCATACACAACACAGCACAAGGCCGGGAGTCCAACACCACCAGACGCTCTTCTCGAGGCGCCTCAACGCAGTTCACATTCTTACCCAGAGCGCTCACACACACGAGGTGGGGGATCTCACTTCTACCCAGTACAGAGACGTCTGCTACTGAAGAACAGACAGCGAAGTGATGACTAGGTGTACAGACTAGGACGTGGATTGTCCATTGGAAATAAATAGTAAGATCTGAGTGAGAGCTGAGTACATGTAGGAATCAGAGTAGACTGTGGAAGTAGAGCAGCAGCGGAGGTAAATAAGATGTTAATTTCCTATATTAACAAACCCAGTAACCCCCCCAATTTAAATAGTCCCATCCCTCTCCTCCATAGTCATGGTCCTGTCCTTACTTCCTCCAGAGTCACGTCTTGTCCTCTTCTCGTCCATAGTCATGTCAGTCCCTCATCCTCCATAGTCATGTACATGTCCCTCTTCCTCCATAGTCATCGTCTTGTCCCTCTATACCCGTGCCATAGTCCATTGTCGTCCTGTCCTCTTCCTCCATAGTCCATGTCCTGTCCTCTTTCGCGTCCATAGTCCATGTCTGTCCTCTTCTCTCCATAGTCATGTCTGTCCACTTCCTCCATAGTCATTTGTCTGTATCCCCTCTTCCTCCATAGTACGACGTCTGATCCTCTCTCCACCATAGTCCCACGATCCGTACCCTCTTCCTCCATAGTCATGTCACTACATCCTCCATATGTCAACTGTGACGTTCCTTTTATCTCCAGGCAGATGATGAATAACACACAGATAATATAGTGTATGGGAACCCACTATCAAACCCCTTTCATGGGCGCAGAACAGTACCCCACTTCCGGGGTCCCGGAACATTCTCTCATCTCGATGTGGAGAGGTGTCACCTTCTCACCTCATCAGTCTAAACTAATGGATTTTTACTGCACTTAGTTAGTGGCGGGGGATGGGGGGATATTTGTAGGGGGATTGGAATATCTATGTCTATGATTTAATACGATTCCAAATAGGGAAGAAAGAGAGAAAATGTCTTCAATGCAGCTAAACAAGTGGTGAAAGGCATAATTTCTCCATAAAGAATCCCAGTCTCGAGATATGTCATACCTACAATGTTGATCAGTAAATGTCTCCGGATACATGGAGATCTGAGAAATATTATTTGTCCTGGAAAAAGCCCAAAGAGTAAAGGTCATCTTTCATGTTTTTGGAGAGTGGGGATGCACCTGGGAAGCATGTACAGAAACCTCACACGAAGCGGCCCCACACAGCACCTCCACCCAATGTCCCTCCCCATCCAGAGTCATAGAATCCTTATGACATCACAACTGACCACCACCTCCTCCTACCAATTGTCCTTCCCATCCCAGATTCAGATAAATCCTAATATGACATCACTCTGACCTCACAGCTCATCCTCCCCAAAATGTCCTCCCCTCCGGAGTCCAGAGAATCCTAAGAGGGGGGGGCGTCACACGCTGACCTCACAGAGCTCCCCCCTCGCCAAATGTCCCCTCCATCCGGAGATCATAGAATCCCGGGGGGGGGAGTGACACCATTACCACGCTGACCTCACAAGCTCCTCGCTATCAAGTCCTTCATCCAGAGTCAGAGATCCTAAGACATCACTAGCTGGACCTCACGCGTTCTCCTCCTCCCAATGTCCCTCCAGTCGGATCGGGGGGGGGGGGGGCATAGAATCCCTATGACGTCACACGTGACCCGTCAAATAGCTCACGCCCACCCAATGTCCCTCTCATCCGGATTCAAGATGAATCCCTATGACCAATTCACAACCCTGACCACACAGCTCCCTCCTACCACATGTCTCTTCCATCCATAGTCTCCCAGAGAATCCTATGAATCACTCTGACCATCACAGCTCCTCCTCCCAATGTCCCACCTCCATCCGGAGTCAGAGAATCCTATGACATCACACTAGACCCAACACATCTCCTCCTACCAGGTGTCCTTTCCATCCGGGCTGAGTTCTGAGAACCTATGACATCACGCTGACCTTCACAGCTTCTCTCCATCCCAATAGTACCTCACCCCGGAGTCGAGAGAATCCTATACGTCACAACAGACCCTCACAGCTCCCCCATCCACAATGTCCCTCCATCCGGAGTCAGAGAATTCTATGACGTCACACTGACCCTCACAGCTCTCCCCTCCCAATGTCCCTCCAATCAGAGTCCAGAGAATCCTATGACGTCACACTTGACCTCACAGACTCCCTCCTCCCATTTGTCCCTCCCATCCGAGGTCAAGCGAATCCTATACATCACACTGACCTCACAGCTCCCCCTCCCATAGGTTCCTTCTCCATCCGGCGAGTCCAGAGGGGGGGTAATCCTATGACGTCACAGGAAACTGACTCTCACAGCTCCCCCTCCCAGTGTCCTTTCCATACGCGCCGAGTTCAGATAAATCCTATGACGATCACACTGACCTCGCAGCATCTCTCCCCTCGCACAGGTGGGGGGGGTCCCTCTTCACATCCAGAGTCAGAGGAATCCTATGACGTCAAAACCTGACCTCACAGCTATCCCACCTCCTCGAATGTCCCTCCATCCGGGGGCAACGTCAGAGAATCCTATGACATCACACTGACCTCACAGCTCCTCCACCCAAATGTCGCTTGACCAACCCAGAGTCAAAGAAGCCTAAGACATCACACTTGACCCACTCAGCACCCCCTCTCCAGTGTCCATCGCATCCAGAGTGGCAGAGAACCTATGACATCACACTGAGATCTCACAGCTCTTCGTCCTCTCTCAATCTCCGCACAAACCAGTTCTATTTTCTTTATGTATCCAGTACACTTAGGATGTGGTGCGGAACCCTTTTACAATCCTCAACAACCACAGCAGAACTGTATTGATCCTTCATTTCTATCTAATGATGTCAGAATATCGTTTTACCTCAGCCTGAAGTGGGGCGCTTCACTAAAACCGGGGTGACAGACCTGAAATTGGAGAGGTGAGGAGGATCTCTGGGAAAGAACGATCTCATTTATGATGTGACACTTTGTGTATCATGATGTAGAGTTTTCCTCCTAGTGAAGTCTGGGAGATCTTTATGACATCACATTGCCTTCCACCTCCCTCCCTGATAGAAAGAGAGAAAGAAGAAGATGATTCTCGAAGTCACCAAGAGACATCACTTGAGCAGCTGACAGGGGGAGAGGTGAGTTGGGGGGGGTTGCCATGGGAAATTCTGGGACATTCTCCCAGTAACAGACGAAGGATGTGTCTGTATGGGTGACTGTATCACATTGTGTGAGTGTCAGGTTCCCTATAAGGTGTCAGTGGTGTCACTGTCCTATTTCTTCCATGAGGAGTGGGAGTATTTAGAAGGACACAAGGATCTCCTACAAGGACGTCATGATGGACAATCAGCCGCTCCCTCGACAATCACCGGTGTTAAGGAGGAGACTGTTTATTGTACAGGAGAGAGCAGTAACCGGAGGATCCCACCTTAGATCCCCCCATCATCTGATAAACACATAGAAAACAATGGATTCAGAACAGTGTTGATGTGTTTCCTACAGATGGAGTCCAGTCCATGGAACCCACCATTAGGAGATGATCCCACGCGTCCTACATTATTCACGGGTATTCCAGCACAGGAAGATGTCACATTCCCATCCCTTCACCTATCATCAGGTTACTTGATAGACAAATTATGTGGTAGTTGTGATTTATAACACAGTCATGTATAGGTTACAATGAATGTGTTTTATTCAATATCTTTCGAGATGTGAATCCTCGGGGATGATAATAATTGATGTTTAAATAGAAGCGTATAAAAGAAGGAGGAGTGAGGTAGTATGGAGTGAATGGAGGGAGTTTTACAGAAGGACACAACGGAGTATGCATGGAGACCACCTAATACCAGGTAACCCACCAGAGAGATGTCCCCAGTCCTTCTGTATGTCCGGGAATTCCACACAGGAAGGTCACACCATCCCTCACTATTAACAAGTTGGGTGGGATGGAGCATCTAGAACATGGACTCATAGAGAACAATGTGTTGAGAGTTTTTTACTGTGAAAGATCTAACAATATATAACGCTTATGTCTTATAGATTGTTATATTCTCATTGTGTTTAAGGGAGTGACGATCAGATAGATATAGAATTTGAGGGTGAAATCAGAAGAAGAAGAGGCGTATGAGAGGTGATTGATCAAGCAGTCCTATGGAGGAGGATGGAATAACGGGGACATTTATAGAGAGGACACTCTACAGAGAACAGCACAGGTGGTCATGAACACTAAATCCATTCCTCCCACCCATACTGCTCACTGATTTGGTCCAGAGTAGGGCGGGGGACTGGGTGATATCAGCCTGTAATCCCCCTGGTCACTTCCTGAGCTGTGTTCCCCGTCCTGGTAGTTCCTGATGTCTCTCGGATAATCTTCCTTCTCTCTGTGCTGCAGACACAAATTTATGTATCAGTTTCTGGTTGTTTTCCCTCACTCTCTGACTAAGGTCCCATGAATAAAGAAAATGACCTGGTAGGAGATCAGAGGAGCCATTTTCCTAGTATCCTTGAGGGTGAATTGTAAGCTCCTCAGAGACCAAGCTGCCTGATGTGGGTGGAGTCCCTGGTTTGAGGGAACCAATCAGCTCCTGTCTAGTAATCCTTCTTGTCTTTGTATTTTAGTCCATGGCCGGGAGATGAGGAAAACCTCAGAGGATTGTCTCACTTTTGTCTCCAGACTGGAAAGTAGAAGATGAGGACATCACACAGTATAGTCCAGGATAAAACCCGGCTGCCCTCCAATGTCCATCCGGCACCCACCCAGTGTAAGATGACCATCGGATTCCTCGTATCCTGAGGAACCTCAAGACTGTGCGGGACCGGGCCGGCCTTACCAACACGGAAGAGCTTCTCCTGTACTGAGTGCGGGAAGTGTTTTCCATTCAAATCCAAACTTAAACGTGCATAAAGATCTCACACAGGGGAGAAGCCATATTCTTTGCCCTGAATGCGGGAAATGTTTTTCACAAAGGTCCAATCTTTACAGACATCAGAGATCGCATACGGGGCAAAAGCCGTATTCCTGTCCTGAGTGTGAGTGGAAAATGTTTTTCAACAATTCCAGTCTTTACACACATCAGAAATTGCACAAGGGGAAAGGAAATATTCCTGTCCTGAGTGCGGGAAAAATGTTTTTTACGGAAGTCCAATGTTTACAAACATCGGCGGTCTCACACGGGGGAGAAGCCACATTCCTGTCCTGAGTGCGGGAAATGTTTTTCAGACAAGTTCATCTTTGCAAACATCAAAGGTTCTCACACGGGGAGAAGGCCATATATTCCTGTCCCCAGTGCGGGAAATGTTTTTCACAGAAGTTCTACTCTTTACACACATCAGAGATCTCACACGGGGGAGAAGCCTTATTCCTGTGCTGAGTGCGGGAAATGTTTTTCAGTAAAGTCTAATCTTTATACACATCAGATCTCACACTGGGGAGCAGCCACATTCGGGGCGGCAGACAAGTTCAGCCATAAAACGGTGTCCTGTCCTGAGTGCGGGAAATGTTTTTTTCAGATAAGTCCAATCTTTACAGACATCAGAGATCTCACACGGGGAGAAGCCACTTTCCTGTCCTGAGTGATGGAAATGTTCTTGGGGCACTAAAGTCCTGTCTTTTTGTAAATCAGGGATCCCACACAACCCTGGAGTGTAGTAGTGCCTTGAGTGCGAGAAATGTCTTCTAGATGAATGTTGCTTGGACATCCCAGCTCTCGTTGGGGAAGAAGCACACCCTGATATACACCTCAGATATACTCCATGGATGATCTTCATCATGGAAGGAAACAGTCCATAAGGAGATCAGAGGTCACCAAAGACATGGGATGAAGTGTGGGACCGGGTTGGCCATTTGATGCAGGAGAAGAATAAAAATGGAGTCCTGCCCTGTTCATTGGCTGAGTACAGTTTGTGGTGTTAACTTTCGTAACTATTTACAGGCTTTTTAATTTTTTTACTTGTTTGAATGAATATGACACACCTTTGGCCTAGGCATGATGAATACTGGCCGCATTTTATTTCATATAGTGATTTCCTATAGTCATCATCTCCATCTAGTGGCAATAATGAGGCACTGCTGTACTATTGCCAATTCATGAACACTAGATGGCGCTACCCTCTTGCATTGTTAGGTGCCTCCCCAGGCCACAGGATCACTACATAGTGGAAGTGGTGCTCTGAAAGGCCCGGCAGACTTTTGGCATCTACTGTGGTAGTCGAAGTTCTTTGTCCTCCACTTTGTCCTGGACGTTGGGCTGCAAGCGTATATATGCAGTGTAGGCGAGGATGACAGAAGTGAGGTGGTGCTTGTGCCTGTTTCCATGTCAGGCAGCACATCCATACATGCAGAGTATTCATGGAGAGTCTCCAAATGCTGTAAGCAGCTGGCAGTGTTCTCCCCCACAGGCCCACACACCCCAGATGTACATGGTTGCAGCCTGGATGACTCCTACAGGTAGACACAATGACTGGTCACAAGGTTCTTGGGGGCAGCACCAGCACACACCTTCATGATTGGGAGTGGCTATGGGCACTGGTAGGCTGGGTGAGTGATCAACTGGGGTAACCAGGGCACAGTGCCTTCTCAGCGGGACCAGGATCGCTGGATTGTCAGTCCTACTATCAGCTGGATTGGCGGTCCTACTATATGGGTCAGGGCAGGGTCCTACTAGATGGCAGAAAGGTCGGGTCAAGGTCTCCTTTTTGGGGCTCTGACTCTAATCACCTATCAGGTATTTCTGCAACCTCTAGGGATATCTTGCCTCCGATTCCTGTGTGATTATGGAAGAATCTATATTTGCTTGGTTAAGGGATAGCATAGCATTTGGGATTGGTGCCGGTTGGACCTTTTAGGTCACAAACACGTGTGTTCCTTTTCACCTCTCTCTCTTGTTGATGGAAGGGACCTG